GGGTTGCCCAATCTCACAATTCCTCTTCAACTTTGCCATCGATGACATTCTGGAAACAGCTCTGATGAATGTAAGTAATGGTGGTGTGGACCTGTTGCCTGGAGAAAGACTTCTCGACCTTGAGTATGTGGACGATATTGTCTTACTGTGTGATAATGCCCAAGGCATGCAATCCGCACTTAATCAGTTGGCAATCAGTGTCCGTAGGTACGGTATGTGCTTTGCACCTTCGAAGTGCAAAGTACTTCTACAAGACTGGCAGGATTCCAATCCTGTACTCACCCTGGATGGTGAGCAGATAGACGTAGTCGAGAAGTTTGTGTATCTGGGTAGCTGTATAAGTGCTGGTGGGGGTGTGAGTGATGAGATCAATGCACGAATAGTGAAAGCCAGAGCGGCTTATGCCAATCTGGGCCATCTATGGCCCCTTCGTGATGTTAGTCTGGCCGTAAAAGGTCGAATCTACAACGCGTCGGTGAGAGCAGTTTTGCTCTATGCTTGTGAAACCTGGCCTCTCCGAGTTGAGGACGTTAGACGACTCTCTGTGTTCGATCATCGCTGTCTCCGAAGGATTGCTGACATTCAGTGGCAACACCATGTCAGTAATGCAGAGGTTCGGCATCGTGTGTTCGGGCACAGAGATGATAATTCAATTGGTGTCACCATCTTGAAACACCGACTTCGGTGGCTTGGACATGTTCTCCGAATGTCGTCCCAGAGAATTCCACGTCGTGCATTATTTGCCGACTCTGGGACTGGTTGGAAGAAGCGGAGAGGTGGTCAGTGCATGACATGGTGTCGTGGCATGAAAGAAAGCTGCAAAGGACTGGCGTGTGTTGGTTCTTCACGACTCCCTGGTTGGGGTCTGAGAGATGGTGCTACACAGTGGCTAGAGACGTTATCAGATATGGCTCAGAATAGAAGCCAGTGGCGATCCTGCTGTAACCTTCTTTTACTTTCTTCATAAAAAGTGGTTCTGTCTCCCTTACCTGAAAGATTTCTTCCGATTGTACCTTTGCGTTCCCTGATTACTAGCACATTACCTTACACCAATCTCTTCGTTATTGTCCTCTCTTTTTTTGTTGCGCTCCTTAGCTTTTTTTTTCTTTCTTTGTATTCCTCTCGAATTTTCATTGTTTTGTGTGGCGCATATATATTGGCGCTCCCCTGTACCAATATTCATGTGTCCAAATAAATAAATAAATAAACTTTATATGACTGAATTTTACAAAAAAACCTAATAATTAATTTATGAATAAATGACTAGATGATATTGTGTCCCTTTATGGTATAGTGAATTAGCAGTTAACGCATAGAAATTCCAAATTCTAATCTGAGCCTAGTTTAGCTTGAATAGCTGGATAACAACATATTAATCATTCAATTTATGTGAAGGCTGGAATACTGCCCAGGAGCCCAAACTGAAGCAGGTGGTTTTCTTAGGGAGACACTTCTCGACTCTTTGACCTAGAGATCTAATCCACAAGTTGGTGGGGCAACATTAGGAGATGCAATCCCATGGTAGCCGGTGACCAAAAACAGGTTCATATGCCATTTGTTCCCTCAGAATCTTGGAGACCATGTGCACCAGAGTTTTAAACTCTCCTAGGTGAATCCTCCATATCCACCAACCCAGTTAAAGCGTCAGACATTCGCTTTTTATCCTCTCAATTTCGTAAACACCCCAGCCGCGAGAAGGTAGTGGGTAGGATATCCTTGGGAGTGGCTGTATACGCGTGGTCATCCTCAGCCGTACTATGGCATTTGGAGGCTTACCACATAAATCTCCAAACCAGACTGATAATAATAGTATTTATTTGGTAAAATAATTCATCAATTCAATTTCATACTGATGTTCACTTGTAAATAGTACTTTCTAGTAACACAGTATAAATAATTAAGCCAAAACAACACCATTTATTATATTAAATTTCTAATATTCACCTATAAAGATTCTTCTTACTGAATTAAACATGTACTACTTATGTAATACGAGTTCATTTCGATCTTGTCCTGAAATTAATGTACTGTATACTCAGTTTGTCAAATTTGATTGAATTCATTGACAAAAGAACTTGATAGATACATGAATAGGTATGATCCATGATAGAAATGAATAATAATGAAACAAACTGTTCTTTAAAAAAACTAGATTCAGTTAGTTTGAATGAAAGACAGCTAGTCTTATTGTCATTGACGTGCAACAAATAATATGATCCAACTTTTCTATGCACAGAAGTTAAAATCGAGTTAATGTACTCAACTTGAAGTTACAGTTTGTGTGTCAGCAGTTTAAACCGAAGTTGATCAAACAAAACTTGAACTAGGGACCTAGTGGTTGAAAGTTCGATGTCTTAACCACTAACAAACATACTTCACATAAAAAAACTCAATTAGCCTTAAATTGTGAACTAATCAATTATGATTAAATTGGTATTTGGAACTAGTAAAATTAATATCCAAATAATTGTTTATAGTTTTTTGTCAAGTCGGTTTCTACACCTCATATAAGCACAAAGAGATGGAATCAAAAAGGTGAATAAGAAAGGAATCTAAATAATAGTAATATCACGGATAGTAACCTTAAACATAAAGAATATGCTTCGGAAAGAAGGAATAAGATACGGAATCAAAATGTAATTACCAATACTGATAATTAGGGTCTGAAAGAAAACAGAGCCAATGTATCTATGTCACTTGAATCAAATTCGAATTACCTAACGACTAATCACTATTATCTCGCGAACACAAACCAGGTGGTAGTCAACAACCAGAAGCACCACTAAGATCAACAATGAGAGATCTCATGAATTGATACCATGTCTAGTTTGCTTTTAATCTATTTCTACACTAGTCAACATTAAGCTTCGAGGTAAGTGGTAGCTAGAAAATAAGTAGCATTTGTCCTAGACACATCATTTGATGAAGATTCACATTTCCATCGCCGTCTTTACTTAATAACCTACATAGAGACGGTAAATTATAATCCAAACTAAAGCATACAAATGACTACGAAGTCACTTAATCACAATTATAGATGACTCTGAAATCAGGTTTAACAATTTCATATCGATGTGCTAATATGATAATGTCAACTTGAAATGATGTACATTTGTAGCGTTTAACTGACTAATAGTAAAGATTAAATGAATAACTTTTTATCGATCACCTCAAAAGTTCTGGTATAAATGTACAGAAAATTTACAGTTTTATGTACAATATAATAAACCAATCGGGAACAAAACTGAAAGATGTTTCATACACATAGTTCCCTTTATTATCTTAAATAGAGCAAGAACAAAGATTGGTGCAGAATAATATGAATTCATTTTATTTCGTTAGGTTCTCATCAGCTGCTTACAACCTAAATTATTTGAAATTCAACATTATTACAGATATTGACATATTTATATATAAGAGTGTGATTAAGGATCAATACATGTGTATGATGATCTAGCAAGCAAAGATTCAGATAGAGTTAATGAGCTCATAAAATGTTTGATTCCAATAAATAAATAAATAAATAAATTTACATGTACCTGCCAAAGCAGTTACATAGGTAGAACAGAAAGGAGAGCCTACGTCCGATTCAAAGAACATATTCCGAAAAGTTTAAGATTAAATGGATTGAACTCATTCAACAGTGCTATCGCAAGACATCTCCTTGATACAGGACATAAAGCTGATATACTGAAGTCCTTCAAGGTGATTAACAAACAATCAAACTTGAACCTTTTGAAATTCGCTGAAGCGTTAGCAATCAAACGTTTAAAACCAGATCTATGTATACAAAAAGAGACAGTAATAAATCTTTCTTTACCCTGGTAACAATAACCCCCACTCTTTCTATTAATTTGCTCCTATTTATTTATTTATTTATTTATTTATTACGTCATTATTGCGACTCTTTCTGAAATATAAATTACATCATACATAACTGATTGATTTCAATTCATATTTTCTTTATTACCATTAATCTATTTTCATGAGTTCTAATCACTATTTCAATGTTCCAGAACTTTCCCTCTCAAACTTTATTTATTTATTGGAATCAAACATTTTATGAGCTCATTAACTCTATCTGAATCTTTGCTTGCTAGATCATCATACACATGTATTGATCCTTAATCACACTCTTATATATAAATATGTCAATATCTGTAATAATGTTGAATTTCAAATAATTTAGGTTGTAAGCAGCTGATGAGAACCTAACGAAATAAAATGAATTCATATTATTCTGCACCAATCTTTGTTCTTGCTCTATGAAAGATGTTTCTTTAGTTCAGTATTAATAAATATAACCAAGATAATCCAAATCAAAGATTCTAGTCAGTTTAATTCTTGATGTTTTAATACCAGACTATTGTATAAATCACCATACTAACTAAACAACTGTAATGTTTGATCGATAGTATTTACTTGATATTAAAGATCAATTTCGAACAAAACTTTATTTATTACTTATTTTAACACAGATATTGGTACAAGGAGGCACCAAATACATATGCGCCACACAAATCTCATTCGATATGTGTGACAGCTGTGATACTGCTCGGGTGCCCAAACCGAAGCAGGTGGTTTTCTTAGGGGGGCCATTCCCCGCAAGGCAGTGGAGCATCGTAAGGAGATTCAGTCCCATAGAAGCCGGTGACCAACAATCGGTTCGTACGCCATTTGTTCCCGCAGGATACTGGAGCCCATGTGCACCATTGATTTGTTTTGGGACCCGGTTAAAGCGCCAGACATTCGCTTTTCATCCTCTCATTTTCGTAAACAACACCCCCGCCACGAGAAGGCAGTGAGTAGGACTTCCCTGGCAGAGGTTATATACACGTGGCCATGTGAGAGCATTTCGAGAGGGAGAGCAGACTCTCCCCACTCTCGGCCGTACCAGGGCATTTGTACAACATTAAACTATTCAACTACAATATAATTCAAAAGAACATAACTTTCATATGAATTTTCATTGAAAAGCAACAACAACAAAAATAAATTACCCAAAACCAACAGGATATACACTTGTGCTATAATTATTATGCAAATATTCTGTAGCATCATCTCTATGATTATTTTGTAACTGAGGTGAACGATTTCTTCTTCGACCAGTTCGATTTGATGCAGTATTACCATTAGTATTTGTACTAGCGCCAGAACCACCACCACTATCACCACAAGAAGTTCGATTATTTATCCGTTGATTGCCGCAGATTTGTTTAACTAAGAAACGTATTAAACATACTAGTAAACATATAATTCCAATTGCTCCAATAATTCCACCTAATATTTTATACAATTGAAAATTAGATTGTTCATATGAACAATATGGAATTAGATTGGCATCAGAATCACTGTTATCACGATTCAAATGTATTTTTTCATTTGATTCACATTCACTGCATTCGAATACTGTATCACCAGCTAAGTGAATAATTAAAATAAGAGAATGGTAAAAAGAAAGTTTAACAATTTTTTGATCCATGAAAAAAAACCAATTCCTAAATATAAGGAAGTAGCTAGTTTACAAAACGAACAGAAAACTGGGTAAATCCCGTTATATTAATTTAGAGGTTTGTGAAAAGAAATATTGACAATTTTAAATCATAAACTGATTTTAGCTAGAGCACTATTGAAAACCTAGAAGAACTGGATAATTGTTTCGTTTGAATGTGAGACACCTTAACAGTGCGCATTCCCGACACCGAATACAAATCCTTAACCTTTACACCACTAAGCTGGTATCTAACTGATATGATGGGAAGAAAAGTCAAAGTTATTCTGATTTAATCACTATGATTTTTATTCAATATTAATTCCGTTTTAATTCAATATGATGATTATTCATTGTAGGATTTGTTTCCGTTTTCCTATATGACATTATATTCTGTATAATATACGATATTCTTGTATTAAAGATTGACCTGAACTATGCTCAGCATGACATGCAACATGTGATCTGTAATAGCCCTAATTCTTAATCATAATGGGTGTACAATAAATATATAAATGAGTGTATTCTCGACTAGGGTCGTCGTCGTATTTTTGGGTTAATAAATCTTCACTTGTACTACTCTTTGTGTTCTTACTTCCGCATTGTGGGTATTTTAGTGGTTTCTCGTTTTACAAGTAAATTAATAAGCGATTATAGCACAGCAATTAGCGACGACCCGATATAACAAATATATATATATATATATATATATATATATATATATATATATATATATATATATATATATATATGATTAGGTCGGTTTGTATAATAGATCAACATCGGATAACTGGCTATTAAAAATCAAGGAGCGATGAACATCCCACTGTATAGTTCATTAGTAATGAGTACCTGCGAAAATACGGAAAGGATTCAACCAATGAACTTTAGGACTCTCGAGTACGAATTCAACGAATCATATTTCTAACTTCACTCAATTAACGATGCACTACACAATCATTCAACGCCTTTGGTATGGTAGCTGCTTTCTAATATGAGAAAATCTAACTAATCAAGACTTCACATTGGAAGTTCAGGAATTCATCTCAAAATTAGTTACTAGTGAGCAGAAGATTGTTCGATTGAAAGCTTTGTAGAGATTAGTTTAAAATGAAGTCACACACTAGAACGAAACAGTTGTCCTTCGTTCTCAGTAGTTCCATGGATGATGTCAACCCCAAATGAAAGTTGCCTTACGGACGAATTGCCGTGAGTCTTACTGTAGAATGGTATGGCAACTGTAGGCAATAATAGAGAAGCTCTTTACTACTCATTCACGAAAATGTGTTCACTTATTTAAAAAGCACATTTACAATCATTGATTTTTCGGATTGAAAAATGTATGTAGATAATAAAGGATGGAATGAATACTTGAAGTGGATTATAAGTAGGCTTTTCCAAGTATTTGGTCCGGCTGTTTCATTTTTAAAAGAGCACAAAATCAGTTATTATAAACACAGAGCTAGTAATTTCAGCATGTGCTAAACACTGTTTTTAAATCCATGTGCTTAGGTATTACTCCAAACATTATTTGCAGTCCACATTGACAGATTACATTGGTGTATTCGCTATCAGTACTTTTAGAGACTAATTCCGCTAAATTTAGCCAGATAAAATATCAAGAAACAAAGAGTGGTTTGGGTCGGTGTATCCCAATAAGAGTGAACCCAAAATGGTGATTGCAATGAAAGTATGATTGTATATAAGACAAACATGTCCCATACTAGGGTGAAATGACCGTCCAGTACTTTCAGGTCTTCAATGATGGATGTAACATTGACCGGTTTGTGATTTCAATGGGAATAATTATATGTTTTTAATCTGGTATTCACTATACCAAGCTCGACAAAAAAAGTGAAGAAACCCAGAGTTCCTTTACTGTTCCTTTATCAAACAACTATAAATACGAAATTACAGCTTGACTAAATAATTTCTTCAAAAATAAAATTTTCTTCGTTGGATTCTCTTTATCTGTTTTCAACTGTTTATTTGAGTAGGGTTTTAGAACGGAATTAAAATACATAAAAAGTAATGAGAGGGCGGATTTTTTGGTAGAGAATAGCTACACCTTCCGAAAAGTGAAGGTGATTAAACAAGAAGATATAAAAATGCACAAAATATCGCATCACAAAGTGTAGATTGCGTTCTCATATGAAATATGAAATTACAAAAGAACGGATGAAACATAATCAAGTATCAGATAAAGCTAGTGTCGGTGCTAAAAAAGTAATCAGTATAATAAAATACCGAGCAATAGAAACAACATAAGTTGTAGCTACGGTATCTAGACGTTTAGAGGATGAAGTTTCAGTTCAGTTTTTGACTGTGATCCGGATGAAGCAGATAATTCAAAGGCTACAAAATGACCGTTAGGCCTCCTTACAAAATCTAAGCTCATTGGATGAACTAACCCTACCGCTTAAAAAAAATACAACTGTTGTCAGAGAGAGTTCCTTTCAACATGATTGTAAACTGGGTGGTAAGAGGACATTGATATTTTCCACAAGTTATAGTCTGGAGTTGTTGAAGCGGTGTCCTCATTAGTATGACGATGGAGTCGTAGAGAATCAAAACTCTAAAACAGCATTACTCAACCATTTTGAAGACAGATGGGTCAAGGAACCTACAAGAAACAAAGGGCGAAACTTTAAAAATTATACGGTGGAACGCCCACAGGTCCATTGTGGAAAATCTTCCTAAAAACAATGAGGTGGATAAGAGCATGTAAGCTTCAGCCCATTCATTTGTGCTGTTTACTCAAGCATTTGGTAAATAAGTGTTACTTTGAAAAAGGAACAAAGTTTAAATGAACTGTATAATGAACAGTCCCTTCTAGGAACCCAGGAACAGCAGGTAAAAAAGAAGCCCAAGTAGGTGTGAAATGTAGAAGAGTTTGAGAACATATTGATAATGGACTAAACACACCCAATAGAACACACAATTTGAATTCGAACATTCAGATACATCAAGTGTAAATAGCATTTACATCTGCATTACCAATCAGAGTGAAGCAGATGCACTCAGTTCTTATCCTCTTTCAGATCTTAAACATCTTACAATTATTATATATTTTTCACATTTTATTTTCTTTGTTCCTACTGGGCTATAATTTTATGTATTTACTTTTGCAGTATTATGTTTATTCACTTGGTTTAGATGTTAGTTTTTTTATCGTCAGTGAGCGATGGCAGTCTAGAGTGATAAAGATTTGCACAAAGTCTTGATTACTAGGTTGGAGGTTATAATATTGACTCAATTTCTAGAAACATATTTACGTATTCGGTTTTAAACCATACTTATATGAGGGGTTAGAAACACTAGGTCGCCACCAAATTCAAGTACATAGAAAGGAGCGCTTTAACTACTGTGCCGCCGTTGCAAAATGGGTTGAAATTCCAAACCTTACATCACTTAATAAGACTTTGGAAACTAGTTAGTCTTATTATCCTCAATACGAATAAAATATGGTTCAAGCAAGGCACACAAACCTACATATCGTGAATTATTCAATCAAATTTATCATATATTCCAACTTTTGGTAAAAGACAGGTTACAAAACTATGGGCAAACTTACTTTTCTGTATATTTCTACCTGTTTTAAATGCACCATGGGATTAGTTATGAAACGAATAAAATGAGTTCATAAATAGCTAACTTTTATATCTGTGGTATCACATATGACATACAAACGTGCATTACACATATATAGCTAATGACCTTATGAATTTGTCCTTAATCAAACTTTTTAGCATGTGGTACAAATATGTTGCATATAATCCAAAAGTGAAATAAAAAAGTCGATCAATCATCTACAACGTAGGGCCAGGCACATATATGGATCGGTCCAAGTTACAACACATCATTAGCACAACAAGATGAACACTAAGTCCATAGAAGCCATTACTTCAATGGTAGTAATATATATAAAAAGATTGCATATAAGAATATGAGACAGAGAGAAAGAATTAGTTCGTAGAAAGAGAAGTAAAACGTTATTTTAATCTCATGGTTTAAAGGAAAACAAAAAGTGTATACACCTACACCATTGTGATCGATTCTGAGCTATGTCACCCAGAGTCTCCAACCACTGGTTACAATAATTGCGCGAACCCTAACCAAGTAGTCTGCATCTGCCAACATGGCTCAGACCAGAAGTTAGTAACTTCAAGCACTGATGCCACGTCTTGGTTTGACCTCACCTAACTTTCTTATAACTATCCCCTACACGAGTCAGCATTGCGTGTTATGATAATCGGTGGTTGAGTATGAGTAATATGTGGCCCAATCATCTCAGTCGATGTAGATTCATAGCCTCATCAACTGATTTACCATCATTCCTGTAAAACATGTTGAGATGTTAGGCATGATTGAAGTTACTCAATAGATAACCCTAAACTTCGATTACATTTAGGGTTTCTGTTGAATAGCCCCAACCACCAGATACTACTAAAAACGTGTAACTAAATAAAAAGCAATACCAAGGCATTCTCTTACGATACACATATACCAACTCAGGCTAATCGACTAGAACCCTGAATATCAACAGTAGGAAAATAGAAAATCTTACTAATAATTTATAGAAACAGTTTAAAATGCAGACATTCATTGTAAACTCCAGATAAAAACGAAAGCAACATACAAACAGAATACACACTAAACAATAAATCCTAAAATCTACCCAAATTATCACGATGACGACCAAAGTCAACACTAATTTTTGTGTGTAACTGGATCTTAATGCAAATCAATAATCGAGAAAATCTTTACATATAAATGTAACATAGTTTATTCATGTAAATCATACAACTACAGTTCAAATCACTAACTCAATAGTTACAATCTCATTCAATATGATCACTTTATAAAAAGAAATAAACAATGTAATTGATTATTGGTGGGGGATGGGGTTGGGAAACGGGAGATGTAGAAT